TTGCTATGGATCTCCAATTTCATCACACTATGGTCTGATAATATACAGGGGATAACTTCAATTCTTTGCATTTACTTAAACATGTTCTATGAGTGAGTATGTGGTCTATTTTGGAGAACAACCCGTGTGCAGCTGAAAGGAATGTGTATTCTGATTTTGTGGGGTGGAAGACTCTGTAAACATCTGTTAAGTTCATTTGTTCAAGAGTTCGACTGAGTTCTAGCATTTCATTACTGATTTTTTGTCTAGTTGATCTATCTATTTGTGACAGTGGAGTATTGAGGTCCCCTACTACAATTTTGTTTGTGCATATATTACTTTTCATGTCCGTTAGTATTTGTTTTATGTAGTTGGTCTCACTACTGTTTGGTGCATAGATATTTATGATTGTCATCTCTTCTTCTTGGATTGTTCACTTTACAAGGATGTAGAGTCCTTCTTCATCTCTCTTAATCAGTGTTGGTTTGAAATCTACTTGATCTGCAAAGAGGATAGCTACTCCTGCCTTTTTTCGGGTTCCTGTCTCAAGGAGTATTGTTTTCCACCCTTTAACTTTCAGGCTATGAGTTTTCTTTTGAATTAAGTGGGTTTCTTGTATGCAGCATATTGTTGGATTTTGCTTCTTGACCCATTCTGCCAGCTGATTTCTTTTGATAAGTGAATTGAGACCATTAACATTTATGATTATACCTGATACATATTGAGTTATCCTTGTCATAACTTTTTCTTTCTGTTGGATTCTCCCCCTTTACATTTAATTTCTTGTCATGTCCAATAGATTCATTCTGCTGTGCTTCCTGGGGTTGTGATCCTCATTGCCTGTTCCTTGGATGTTGTCTAAAATTTTTTGTAGTGCTGGTTTGGTATTCATGAAGTTCCTAAGGTGCTCTTTGTCATGAAAATATCTTATTTTTCCATCGATATGAAAGATAGTTTTGCAGGGTACATCAATCTGAGTTGGAGGCTGTTTTCCTTTAGGGCTTGGAATACATCACTCCAAGCTTTTCTTGCCTTGAGGGTTTGCATTGAGAAGTCTGCTGTGATTCTTATGGTTTTTCCTTTGTATGCTATTAGGTTTTTTTTCTGTACCTGCTTGTAGAACTTTGTTCTTCTGTTGTGTTTCTGGAATCTTAACCATTATATGCCTATGTGTAGATTTTTTTTGATCAAGGCTATTTGGAGTCCTATATGCTTCACTTATTTGTTTGTCAAGTTCTTTTCCCTTGCTTGGGAAGTTTTCTACCATCACTTCTGTGAACAGTTTTTTTATGTTGTCTGCACTCTCTCCTGTTTCTTCGTTGACCCCAGTCAGTCTTATGTTATTCTTCTTTGCATCATCTAGCAGCTGCTGGATTGATTTCTCGTGGTTCCTTACAATTTTGAAGCAATTTTTCTTTTCCTGGTCATTAATTGCAATCCTATCTTCTATATCTGAAATTCTGTTGTCACATTGGTTCATTCTGCTGTGTAGACTTTCAGTGGAGTTTTTGATCTCCTGGAAATCTGTTTGTATCTATTTTATGGATTCCATTTTTTTCCTGTGTTGGGATTCCATCATGCTCCTCAGCTCCTCTCTAGGTTTATTAATCATGTCTTGCACTATGATCACAATCTCTGCTGTTATCAGAGAAATTATGTCTGATTTCATTTTTTCCAGATCCTCTTTTGTTGCCAGTTCTGTGGGTCCAGGTGGTTGAGTATCAGAGTGTTCCTTCTCATTTTCCTTTGGGGTTGCTGTAGGTGATCTGGAAGTTTGGTTTTTAGACTTGTTTATGTGTCTTCTCATTTCGATGGGGGTGGGTGCTATTGGTGCCCACATGGCTCACCTCCTCTTGGCTGGGAGCAGTGGAACGGCAGCCCAGGAGCACCTTCCTGTGGGCTGGCAGCAGTGGGACAGTGGCCCAGAAGACCCTTTCTCTGGTCTGGGAGTGGTGGATCCACCAGTGGTAGTTTCGAGTTTGGAGTGAGTGATAGGAGATTTTGATGACACAAAGTTAACTGAGAACAGAATTGAGGGACATTGAGGTGGATTTAGGGAAGAGCATTCTCCCATTCCAATGGGAGATAGTGGCTATTTTCCTGGGTAGCCATGGAGATGGAGAAAAGACAGAGATTTAGAATATAGAACTATTTCCTAACCCATTCATTCCTCTTCAGCCTGTGCTGTTGCCATACCTTAGGCCTCCCTCTTTTCTGCCTGGACAATGGCTCCTATGTCCCATACTCCCATTGTCTTCCCACCACAATTCTGCCTTGCTTGCTTGTTCCAGAGCTGCACTGCAAACCTCAAGCAGTACATAGTGCCTGAGAATTTTTAAACTATTTTTCACTTACTGCTTTTTATAATTGAATTACAAACATTGTAACGCCTCTCTCTTCTTATTTCCCATTACAATATGAGTCACAATAAGAGATAACAGGCTCTCATAGCCTCTTCTAGGCATCTGACCTTCATTATAACAATTATAAAAATACAGTGGTTCTCAATTTACAAGGGGGTCCCATTCCAATAAATCTGTTGTGAGCTGAAATGTCATAAATGGAAAATGAATCTATTGTACCGAGGTGGTCACCATCCTAGCTGAGGAGCACGGCAGTGCCCTGCAGTCAGGCGTTTGCCCTGGTCATCATGGGCTGACTAGGAGCTGTGGCACTGCTGCTGCCCAGTGTTGACTACATGGCGCCATCCCAGGAAAAGATCCAAATACAAAATTCCTCGTATGGTTTCTCCTGGATGTGTACTACTTCTCCACGATTGCTAACTTGAAAAATCTGAAGTTGAAGCATCATTAAGTCAGGGACTGTCTGTGATTATAAAAATTATAAAATAAATGAGTTGAATTAGGAACAGCTCAGTAGCTGGTTGGGGAAAAGTCCCTCCATTTCCTGCAACTTTGCTTACCCATCACCAAAAAGCCACCCCTTGGAAGGACACTGTGATGCAGGTTTACTCTCTGGAGGCCTCTGCTTCATGTGGTAACCCACCCATCATGAAGCAGTCTGGCTCCTGCAGATATCACTACCTCCTGACTAATGTGAGACAGTTGGCATTCCTTCTCAGCCTTTTGGCTAAGATCAAGTGTGTAATCTGAGACAGTTGGTCTCCTGTTTCTGTCATCCAGTGTCCCAACACTGAGTCACACAGGTGCCCTGACTGTCATACCCCACAGCCAACAGGAGGACTGGCCAGGTGGGCACAGAGCAGGAATCAACCAGGTGTTGTTTCCCAGCTGGCTGAGGGTCACTGTGTGGCAGGACAAATAGTTTACCACAGGGACCAACCAAGTGGGACACGGGGGTTGAAGGATGAGCTACGTCTTCGGTGCCAAACCACAGCAGCTCAGAGGTGTCCTAGGTTGTGGCTAACACCAGACACACAGCCAGAGCCAGAAAAGTGCACTCTGCCTGGGCCATGTACCCTGAGCCCTTCCTCCCAGGACTACCCTTGCCCCAACTTTTTCCCCATCCCTGGTGGTTCAGCCTACATAGGTTGACATATAATGGTGGGTGAAATGAGTTAGCTTGATAAAGGGAGGTCTAGACCCATATAGGAGCCCCAAAACTAGGAGCACCAAGAGCCCAGGGAAGCACACTCCTTGGCAAGTCCCACATTTTAAGAGCCTGAAAGAATGGTCCTTCTATGTGCTCTTGGGGAAAGCAAAGGCCTACTACTCTGCCTCACTTCATAGGGTTTTTTGGTTTGGTTGTTGTTGTTGTTGTTGTTGTTGTTTGGTACCGGGGATCAAACGTGGGTCCTTGCGCTTGCAAGGCAGGCGGCAAAACCACTGAGATAAATCCCTGGCCCTACTTCATAGTTTTGATCAGTAAAAATAACCCCACCTGGCTAAAAGTGATCTAGAGACTCAAGAACGGAAAAATGCCTCTTGGTTGATTTTATCATTTTTGTTTACTAAAACCACAACAAGCAGACCTATCCACAAGCACGTCATTATTGAAAGATGAAAAGCAAGTCCTGATTAGTGGCCACATCACACCTACCATCCATACTCAAAGGACTCCAAATGAGATCCTCCCAAGTCTATAGGAACAAGGAGAAAACTCCAAAGCCAAGGAAGACACTGCTTCAGAAAGGGCTCTTTTGGCAGCTCTCCATGTAAAGGAGCCAAGCTTAGAGTATGTGGACAATTCAGAGCACACCTGTGTTCAAAGTCAAGGTGAAATGTCCCTACAGTCTGTAACCCTCATAAAGAAACACACTGGCGCTAATGAATAACTTGATATTCCTTCACCATCAACACCATCTCTGTTTTGAGGTCTTATTTACTGCACACCTTTATGACAGGTTTTGTCAGCCCTTACCCAGGCTGACCACAGCCTGGGACTCTATGGGGGAGTGTTTCTCTGCTGGCAAGCTGTGAACTGGGGAAGCCTGCTCTCCATGGTGACCAGGAAGATGGGAAGAAGGAGCCCTTATTTAGCTAAGATGAGGCACCTCCACAATCACAGTGTCCATAGCAGCCCTGGGGAGGAAGTGCTGACTTATTGAAATGCCTCAGAAGGGATAGCTCTGGTGAGAAGGGTGGCTGGCTAAATATATCCCCCAGGGAGAGATGAGCAGCCTAGCCACAAGTCCATATAGCACCGAAGTTCTCCACATCCAAAACAAACTCTGGAGTCCTTACCACCCTTGAGTACAGTATGCCCCAGCCACCAAGGCCATCCTGGGTGCAGCCAGGACTCTCACCCTTCCTCCTTCATATCCAGCAGGCACCACTCAGCTTTTCTGCCCTCTGTTTCCCCACCTCTACCTCATTCTGATCTGGACTCCCACCTTCTCCCTCTAAGAATCCCGGTGCTACTTCCCACCATCTTCCAGGCTCCAGTTTCTAACGACTCTCAAATACCCATCTACCATGCAGTGACCAGAGAGACCTATATGAAGGACATATCTCCCTGTGTGGCAGTCCTCTGGTGGTCCACATTGTCTACCTGAGAAGTCACTGCTCCTCACCACAGGCTGATGTGAGGGCTTATCATGCTGTGCACCACCCCGGACAGCACACTGGGCTCCCATGTTCTGCAGGTGTGTGGCTCATTCAGTGACCTGTTCATCAAGACAGCTGCCATTCAGTCCTGGTGTTGGGTGTTGGTTGTTGGGTCTGGTGTTAGGTGGCGTTGGGTCACCACCATGGTGTTGGGTCTACAGAGAAGAAAAACCATCAGATAAATTCACCAGTTACCTCCACCACCTGGTTGATTCTCCCATCCATCAATTAGAAACAAGTTTGCCAAACCAACAGGGACCCCACCAAGCATTTTTCTGTGTAAATTTGCCTCATACTAGAATAATTTGTCCCTTTTCACTCTGAAAACTTTGAATAAGTTGTCCCTTTTCACTCTGAAAACTTTGAAACTTTTATACACTTCTGAAACTCTGAAAACTTCTATGCACTTAAACGTTGACACTACTGACACATACTGTCTAATTTGGACTGGTCTACATGTACTGTATTTCTTTCTGCTGTCTACCCATATGTAGTTCTGTCTACCTGTTTTTGAAGTGGAAAAGCTTTGAATTGCACTAGGCTGCCACAGATGAAAGACTCACCATGCTTATCAGTAGAGTCTGCAGTGCCTAACTCTTTTCTCCTTTACTACAATATGTGAAGTCCCTCTTTTGAGGAAAATGTGAGCAAGACCGAGCTGATTATCTGTGTGAGCCATTTCAAGACACTGTGAGCTGTTTTGTGAAAGAGCTCCCTGAATTGCTCTTGGCAGGTTGAATTAGCTGTTGTTGCATTTTAACATTCACAATCTCAGGACATACCTGGGATCTCATTGAAGACATTGTCATGAAGAGCCTTTATGTTCAAAGATTTTGAGACTACCAGTGATATTCTAATGGAAAACAAAGTGAAGGACAGAAAGAATGAGGGAGGGAGGGAAGGAGAAAAGAAGGAAGGAAGAAAGGGAGGTTGTTTGGGAAGGGGGAGACTCAATTAGATGGACATAAGCTGTTCTGCTGAGGTCTGGCTTGTCATACTTCCCAATCCTTCCACTAAGCTTTGCCAGGCTCCACCCTCCCATTGCTATGGACAAATCTTGCAGTATCTTTGATAGTTTCCCCAGAACTCAAATGTATGGACCTTTCTTGTCCTCCTTGGAAAGGCATAGGAGGTGAGAAGGAGCATTGTATCAGTCCAACTTGCACTGTTGTAATAAAATACTTGAGGCTGGGTAGTTTACAAGAAAAGGAAGTTTCCTGAGCTCAAGGGTTTGGAGGCTAAAAGTCCAGAACCACAGAGCCAGCCCTAGGAAGGGCATCACAGCTGTCTATGCCACAGCATTACAGGGTACTCAGAGAGAAGGCACACAGAACAGTGACAGATCCTGCATCACAGAGTGGAGAAAGAGCGGGGAAGGGCCAATATCACTTTCAGAACAACAGGTTCTTGAGAACTAAATAGGCTCCCACAAGAACCACCTAATCTCTTCTGAGGACAGTGCTCCATGTCCCATCTCCTACAGATCTGCCCAGCTCTCTCATCATCTCATTTGGGACCAACCTTTCAACACATGTACCCTTAGGGAAAAGCCACATCTGAACCATATCAAGCAATTACATAGAATGGCAGTTGGGGGACATATGGCATCAGAGCTCAGGTGGTGCTTGGACCTGAGATGTTCCTCAAAGGCCAGTGCTAAAGGCTTGTTCCCCGGGCCATGGTACTACTGGGAGATGGACCTTGTGAGAGTGAGTTACATCAGTGGGATGGGGGCGGTAACACCTAAAGGACATGTCGGGACCCTGCACCTTCCTGTTTCTCCTTCTGCTTTCACCATGAGGTGAGCAGGCTTCCTCCATCACACACAACCTGCCACGGTGCACTGTACTACCCCAGGGACAAAGCAACAGGACCAAGTGAGCTTAGACTGAAATGTCTGAAGCTGTGAGACAAAACCTCTTTTTGTTTTAAGTTGATTCTTTTGGGAATTTGGCACAGTGATGCAAAGCTGACTCCCACAGGTGGGAAGAGGAAGGCGTGTGCTTGCGTGGTGCAAGTGAACACTTACAGTGTGACATCACGTCCATAGCTCAACATTACCGCACCTGTGCTGTGATGCAGGACAGACAGCATCTACCCTAAAAGATATGTTCCCATGGCCTGTACTGGTTTGGAGGCCAGGGCTTGGCTGGGGGTGTCCCACAGTGGTGGACACGAGGTCGGTGTCTTAGCAGCACCAGTCTGACCAGCCATGGTGGACATTTTGACTTCAGGGTCCAAGAGCTCAGGAACATTTGGGATTTATTGGCTGCCGTTTGGAGGAGCTTTGGCCATATGTTTTCCTGAACTTTTGTTTTTCTGTGTCTCCCCAGACATTCTCCATACGCCTGTGAGAACAGAGCAGGAAGGTCTGGGAATGCAGACACACGCCCTGGGTTCCTGGGCAGAGGGCAAGAGGCGGGGGAATTGTTTTCTTCCATTAAGCCCTGCCCTGAGCAGAAAGAAATCATCTCTAAGCTCTTGTCTTGGGTGACATTTTTCCTGACACAGGGTTGCTTTTCCTCACCTGTCTAAACTAAGTAAAAGGGATCTAATATCCACTCAGCGCTGATCTTTTCAGCAGATACTCAAAGGATAAAGCAAGGATAATTTATTATTCTTCTGCTTAATCCCATAGAGTGGATTGTGAACTTCCAAACAGTAAGACATTCTTCTGAGAAAAGAGCCCCCCTTATCAGCTTGGCCCTGTCCAAAACAACGATGACTTCACCTTGGCTTGGGCTACAGGATGTATTTGTCCCCTGTCAATAATGAACACCCAAGATTTCTTTTCATCTCTGTAGAAGGGAAATCTGAAAAACACAACAACCCACCCCTCTCAAATGCACACTGGTTACAACCCACCTCTGACTTTAATTATGCTCTTCGTGTAACCCTGAAGACAAGAAAGGAAGGTCAGTCTCCCACATCTCACTTGGCTCAGCTAGGGCAAAAACAGTTGGGAAAAATACAGACCTGCCAAGTTTGTTCCATTAGAAGTTGTTTCTTTTATAAGACATAATATCCAGGTAGATTTTGCATATCTCATGAACAAAAAATTCAGTTGGTCTTAAATTGAACTTTAAGTACAACTTTTAGATACAACCACAGATGATTTGTTTGTTTGCCCAGGCTACAATTAGAGGTGGACATCAATGTAAACAGTCTGCAGCACTCAATGTGCAGGACTTTGCCACCTGCAGGAGCCTGAACACCCAGGCAGACTTAGCAATTTGGCATGGTTTCACAAGTGCCCCTTTCCCTGCCTAAGGCAAGAGGGGTCATTAACGGGCAAGAGGCTGTTTGAATAGACTTTTCTCGTGAAGTGAAATGTGTGCAGGTGGAGCTCCAAAATGATCCCAGTGTATGTACACACACATACACAACTACTATACTTACTAATGCAAGCTGTGTTTAAATTTACCTCACTGCACTAGATGTGCAGTGAAAGGGTTCCTCAGAGAACAAGGATGCCATTTTTTCCTCATCTTTACATTCCTTCAAGTAGATACTCAGCTTTTATTAGTTTCTTTGATTCTAATCCTAATGCTGTATTTCTGAATTTATTCATTCAAACTTAACTATTGTGCACCTATTTTATTCCAAGCAATCCATGAAGCATTAAGAAAAACAAGATAGTTTCCTCATAGAGTTCTACCAAATTGAATATTTTAATCACACAAATGAATTTGTAAGCATGTCCTCATATACTACAGGAAAAGGGCTAAAAATCAGTAGAAAAGTCCAAGAGTTCTTCACTTCATACATAACCTCCAAGTTTATATTGGTGGCTCAAAAAAAAATAGTGACGGCCTCAAAATCACTCCCTTCTTGTCTACAGTCACATATCACAATGCTACATGTATGATAATGGTCACAGGATTATAATAGAGCTCAGATACTCCCATCACCTAGTCACTTCACAGTACAAAGCATCACTCATGTGTTTGTGGTGATGCTGATGTAAAGAAAACTGTGCTGCAAGTCATATATAGTATAGCACATGCAGTAATGTACAGCACATTACTTGATGACAATCAATGGCTATGTTATTGTCTATGTATTTACTATTCTATACTTTCTGCCCTTTGTCTTAGAGTGTACTCCTTCTACTTATGAAAAATAGTTAACTGTAAATCAGCCTCAGGCAGATCCTTTAGGAGAGTTATTCCAGGTGGAGTCCTTGTAATCACCACAACCTTATAGAGGGACTAGATGTAGAGGTAGTAGACAAAGATACTGATTGTATTAGCCACCTGTATGCTACTGAGACAAAATATCTGACATACAAACTTGAAGGGGAAAAGGTTTACTCATAGTGCCAGAAGTTTCAGTTCATGGTCAGCTGGTTCCCAGGCAGAAACATCATAGCAGAAGGGTGTGGTAGAGGAAAGCCACCCAACTCATTGCATACAGGAAGCAGAGCGCAGGGAACCAGAGGAAGGGGTCGGGGAGCAGATATGGTCCCCACAGGCATGGCTCCATGACCCGTTAGACACACTTGGAAGCATGCTTTGCTAATCAGTCCCCATGGCATCTCTCAATCCAATCAAGTTGACAATCCAGATAAATCGTCACACTGATGATCTTGCTCCTGTGCGGATCTAGACCAATGTGTACGACTGTATTTTAGTTTTCAGTAAAGAAACTCAAAAAGTAATAAAAATTTACAAAAAATGTTAAATATCTGAAATCTTATAAAATAAGGACACAAAGAAAGAAAACAGTTTTGTGTGGCTGCATAAGATATCTTTTAAGAAAACTGTTTTTGCAAAAAAACCCACAAAACTTTAATAAATGAGTAGCTTTTAAAGTAAAAAAAGGTTACAATGAACTAAATTTATTATTGAAGAAAAAATTGTATGTTTAGTGTAGTCTGTGTGCACAGTGTTCTAAAGTCTACAGTGGTGTACAGCGGTGTCCATGGCCTGCGTGTCCACTTACCACTCATCCGCTGACTCACCCACAGCAACTTCCCATCCTGCAGGCTCCAGTAGGGTAATGAAACACAGGTGCCCAGTTTTTATTTTTATATTCTACTTGTTCTGTCCTTTCCTATGTTTAGAAACACAACACTTCCCACTGTGTTACACTACTTACAGCATTCAGCATATAACATGCTGCACAAATTGTGGACTCACAGCAATAGGCTCTGCTGTGCAGCTTATGCGTGCAGAGGGCTCTGCCATCTAGTTTTGTGTATGTACTCTGTGATGTCCATAAAATGACAAACTCAACTCCCGATGCATTTCTCAGAACTCTCCCTGTCACTCAGTGACACTGGTTACATTTGTTTTCTAGTTCTTCACTAGAGCATGAAATTATGGAGCATAGAAACTATGGCTCACTGGTTTCTGTATCCTTAATTCCTGACACGTGGCAAGTACTCATAGTTGGCAACAAACATAAAAACTTTCCTAGATAACAGAACACAAATTTCTAGTAAAAAAAAAAAGTCAACATTCAAAATAGCTAAATAAAAAGGGGTAGAGTGTTCCAAAGAAATAAATTAGTCCCCCTAGCCTCCCTCATTCTACTCCTAAAACCTATGTCCCACAGGACAGAAGAGTCTCCATCATCCAGAAAACCATGCTCACTGTATTGGCCCACTGTCCCTTACTGTAATGAAATAGCCAACGCAGGCTAACTTTATGGAGAAGAGAGGCTGACTTCACTCACAGTTGTGGAGGTTCAAGCTCATGGCCCCAGCATCAGCTCAGCTCTTGAGGACCCCATAACAGATGGAAGTACAACGGCAGACATGTGTGACAGCAGAGATCACACACACACTGAGACAGGAAGCTAGAGCAGTTCAGGGGCTGGGCCTGTACTTATAACAACTTGGCCTCCCAAGACCTGTCCTCATCCATTCCAAAGGCATGCTGCCAATCACCTAGGACCTCTCTAGGCTCCACCACCTCCCAGCATCGCCACTCATGAACCAAGGGTCCCACACGTGAGCTCTCAGGACGCCCACTCACACTCTGTGTAACCCATAGCACTCACTGGTACAGAAATACAAAACTTCTAGGAATTTCTCTATTTCACAATAGCTTTGCATATTTTAAATAATTAATGTGGATGATGACAACACAAGACATAAAACTGACACTAACATTCCAGACCCAAGGCTGGGGCTGAATTGCAGAGCTGCAATCTAATCTAAATTACTAATTTCATGCTGGGTTTTTTAGGCAGTTTTTATAGTCCCCCAAAAATGACATTATAAATTAATTTTAATATGATTTTTAAAAGTAGAAATGAAATGGCAGGTGTTAGAGGCTGTCTTTTCCTCTAACCTATACCAGTGACTACCAGCTGAACTGAGATCCCTTAAGCAATACACTGATCCAAGGTAAGAAAAAGAGCATTTTATGTGAAATGGAGAAACTGAGTCCTGAATGAAGCTACATCTGGAGAAACTTCCTTTGCATTACTACCCATCAGAATGCGATGCTAGCCGTGATGGTGACTCCTGGTAACTGGCTCATTCCTAACAGGTTATCTTCTCTCATTAGAGCCAGGGAGGATTAACTGCTTAGCCCCTTGCTTTTAGTTTCTTAACTAAGCACAGCCAGTAAGTTGGGATGAAAAGTGATGAGGCATTTAATCACCTATGGAAGATGTTCCATTCCCACATGTTCTTCTATCATGGGGCCATTAACATATGAGCTGGTAGCTGCACCAGTATCCTGAGCCCAGGCATGATCACAGTGAGCAGAACACCTGACCTGCTCATGCAGATGGATATGAAGTATGCATGAGAAATGAAGAGACTTGGGGAAAATTGGGGATTTCTTTGGTGTTTGTTCTTGCAGTGTGATCTGGTTTCACCTGTCTGATACATAAGGATACTGGCAGTGCTGGAAAACTAGGTTAGAGCCAAAAGAAGTCTAAATTATAGTCCCACCACACCACTGAACTTCTGTTTTCCAGGAGAGAAATTCCATCCTCACCATGATGCTGTGTGCAGACCAGACCTGTGGATACTCACATTGCACCACTACTTTTAGAATAGTGTAGCTAAAGCCTCTTACCCAGCTTCCTGCCCACAGTGAGTGCCCAGAAAATGGCAGCAATTAATATTCTAATTTTTAGCTCCCTCCTCCAAAATGTGTTTGGGCATGATGCAAGTCTAGAAGGAAGCTTTTGCATGAACCACTCACCACCTGAAGTCTCTTCCTGAGCTATGTTTCTCAAGTTATCCAGAGAGTCCGAGACAGAATACATGGTCCAGTGGAGGCTGACTGTAATAAAAGGAAGTATAGGTTGTTTTCGGAGGCCTTAGCAGGACCACCTTCCCAGGTGAGGCATCTCCGAAGGCTCCCTGGAGGAAGTGGTGTGGTGGTCAGGAAATATAAGACAAGCCTGGTATAAAGAAGGGAGAATGTGTGCTCACAGAGAAGGGCCAGCATGTCCAAATGTCCAGGGAAGGAGAATATCATGCTGGCAGAGAACTACAGTGGCCAGAATAGGAATGTGAGAGATGGGCAGTTTGAGGGGGTGGGAGGCACAAATAGAAATCTAGCCATACTCAGAGGGCACCCAGAAGGCCTCGCCTGCAAACGGAATGTCTAAAGATTGCTTCTGCTCTTTATCCACAAGGGATAACTTGAAATAAAATCCTGCAGGGCCCTGAAGACAGAAAACTCTGTCACCTCTCTTAACATCTGTGCATAATCATCAAAAAACTTGCCACAAAAGTGGCTCACAGGGAGCGGAGCCTGGGTCCTTTGGTGTGGTGATTCCAGAACAGTGGTCTGTGCTTCCAGAAATACACTCTTATCTCCCCTCCTCCCATCTTCTCTCAGGGTTATGGAACCCATAGTTTCAGCTACAAAGCCTCTAAAACATACACCACTTCACGGGACTTGGCAATCAGTGCCCCTGCATTGTTAAGATGGGATGAAATTTCTCCCTCTTACTCCACCCACATTTCAGACCCTGGAGCCCCAGAAGCACAGTGTGCTGTCTGCATTAGTAATGACAGGAAGAGAGAAAGAAAGCTGTCCCTTCATGCTCTACCCCCGCAGGAAGGCATCAAGGATGGAGAATTCCCCGTGTCTTTGGACTGGCCCAGGAGGAGAGCTAGGCTCCTCTTGTCCAGACAGGTCCTAATTACTTCTGGCTGCTTCATCCATCCCTCACAGGATTAAGAGATTCTGCAACATGGCATTGTGGACATTGAATTCACTCACTAAGCATGCACCCTACCAAAGGTTTGCACAGAAACTTGACACCCAGAGCCAACAAAGCCTGTGCCATCAAAAGCAAGTCAAAACACAATGGTATCCAGCAAAGCAGCCAACAGATTGTCAGCCTGTCCTCTTCAGCCAGGTTCTGCAGAAGCGCCAGCCGAGAAGTCTTGAGAAGAAGCCAGGCAGGGAGTGAATTCCATGAGACCCCTCGCTGCTCCTATTGCCACTGCTCCTGGCAAAACACATTCCCACATCTGGCATCCAAGGCCACAGTTATGGAGGGAGCACTGCCCTGCCTGTGTGGCCGGGAGTACCCTCTGAAAAATGCAGCCTGGACAGTAGGACAGAGCGGCCACCAGCAGCACCACCAGACCCAAGAAGCCAAGCCAAGTGCACAACATTGCCACCACATGCATGCCAACTTCCTTCTGCCTTTGGCACTGGGCTTAGGAAATGCCAACCCAGTGTTTGGATGAAGATAAGCTCTCCAGAATATAGAAGACTTTCTTCCAGCCATGCCCAGTCTATACCTCAGAAAGAGCATTTCTGAGAAGAGTTGAAGAGAGCATGACAACAGCCAATGTCAGAAACACATAAAAGAAAAGTGTAAGGAGTCCAATAGCAATGGGCTTCCAGCCACATTTGAGGTCAATTTCCAACTAGGGTTTGCTTCTTTTCCCCCATTCACTGGACAACCGGGCATTTCCACATACATGAGACCATGCTTCCTCCAGAAAGAGTCTCTTGCTGTGACTTTGCAATCCTTGCCATCCAGGGTCATTTGCAGGGACAGGCTTGCAGCCTGAGTCACCATGCAGTACCCAGGGTGGAGGCCAAGCGAGCCGAGCCGGAGCAGAGGGTCCTGGGAATGCTTCCAGGGAATGGCTCTCCAAGGGGAAATCATGCAGCATGAAGGACAAGTTCAGGGCTGTTATAAATGTTTCTTTGCCACTCTATTTAAGCTCAATTCAAGCCAAAATCTTACCAAATAATTGTCATAGTGTGGGAGCAAATGTAGAAAAGCCATCTCCTTTAAGTCTCCTTAGAGAAAAAAATTTAAAACTAGGTTATCACTCCAAATGAAAGCATCCTTTAGAAAATAGGGAAACCAGTAACATGGTGTGGTTTTCACTGCACATAGTGCTCTCGAAACTGAATTTACAGCACATTTTCACACTTAAAGTTCTGCTGCTTTAGACAGCAGAGTAGTCAGATGTACCAGCAACCGTTCCAGGCTAGACCAGAGTGTACATTTTGAGCTCATCATAGGTTCCTCCAGAAGAGTCTGAGACTTGGGGAGGAGACAAGCAAATCACTTCAAAGATTCTTTGTGTCACAGCTTTGGGGTGCCCCTGGAGTCAAGCCCTCTGCACGCTAAACTAGTCAGTCATAAGCTATTATCAGTTTAGCTAGGATAGAGAATCCAGTGCAGAAGGTATGATCCATTTCCTTTCTGGAAGTCCTCTTATTTCATTTACAAAGTCATATAAGCTTCTTCTGATTGTGCTAAGGTCCCTGAATTGGGTGGGACAAGAACAAGGAAAGTCCTAGGGGAAGAACAAAAGGGAGATTAACATAATATGCATTTCAAGGGGTGTGAATGTTTTTTCTGCCTTTTCATTGTTTTTCAGATCGTAGGCTACTGGGTGGGATATAGCATTGTTGAGGAAAACAGGCAGGCTTTACAGGAGGCTTCCAGACAGGGTGGACAGCATGGTGCCAGGACAACACTTTGAGAGCACCATGCCTGCCTGAGCCCCAGGAGGTTCCGGAGTGAGCACCCCACAATCCCAACAGAAGACCACTGGCCCAAGGTCCTTGGAGACTGGTCACCAAAGAGGCCTCAGCAGCAGCCACACTTACAGTCACTGGGCTTGTCCCAGCTGAGTCCTTGATGCTCCCTCCTGCAAGCAAACTGGAATGCTGCTTCTCCACCCTATTCCCCTGACCACTTGTCCTGCACCATCAGTCTGCATTGCAGAAGGATCAGTTCTGTACTGTGTAAAAGCTCTGGATTTGGGGTATGCCCAGCATGGCCAAAGATAGGCACCAGCACTTTTCAGGATGTAAACCTCACTTTGTAAAAAATTAGAATGATTCAGGGCAAAAGGATGATAAAAATGAATATTCGTGTCAGATAAAAATGGAGAACCCATGCAGGAAATTATGATCCACGAAGTAACCATAGCTTAATCACATTACAAGTCAGAAGTAAGCTGTAAAGTTCATAGCACATATTTACAAAGTAATGGAAGTCCACATATCATGTTTTTAAAAACAATCCCACAAATCCAGAAGTAGATTGATTTGACTGCTGAACATTCCTTCAAATATTTTTCTACTTGTGAAATCAAATTCGCATCCTCACTGGAGCACTGACGTGGAGGCATTTTAAAGATGCATTATAGAAAATATGTGAAAAGGTGAGTAATTGCTGGAGGGGCCAATGCCATTGTCTTTGCAAGAGGTCAAATTTTCCATGAACTGAAGGCTGACAAATCATGTCTGCTGCACTCTGTGGCTGTGCTAAGGTTACAAAGAGGGAGAGGCTGCAACTCAACACCGGCGGAACTGCCAG